TTCTTCTTCACCCTGAATGGTCCATGCCATCGATGTGCTAACTTCTTGTCAGGCCCGGCTTGACTCGCTCCATAAACAACCAGACTTGGTCTCCTTCTTTGAACAAAGATTCAGTGGATTCATCGCCTGGTTCTACAACTCCGGCTTCATCGTTTGCTGCGTTGGGAATGGATATTTTCTCCTTCTTGCTCAGTGTATCATTGTGTCCTCGAGCTCGCCTAGCTTTTTCTCGCACTTGGAATTCGTCTGCTAGCCGTAGGGCAACTTCCCGTTGTCTGTTCGCTTTACAGCGCCAATCCACAGCATCCGCTGAGTTATCCCTGTCCATGTTGTATTGGGCTCGTCATAGCCTTGAGTGTAGACTTGGCGTCTCGAAGCCAGGCATCGCCGAGCTTCCTCCAGAGCGGACGGAGAAAAAAAGAAGGGAAGCTCGGGGAGCATCCGCCAAAGACGCTGACAGGGATGACTCGGATAAAAAAAATCCATGAAAGCTCGTATTCCCCAAGAGAGCACGGTGTAGGCGGAACACGACGCTTGCCACCGACGAGTTCCAACTGCACCCCGCCAGTCAATGTGTTTAGTAATGCGTTCCAACAACGGGAGGAGCCAAAAATGCATAAACGGCACCTCGCGGAGTTGTGTTATGTGACTGGTCAAACGAGAACCCTTGGAAACCGCTTGCGAGGCCCGGATCTGCAACGTCGCCAATGAGAGCACAGACGCGTTTCGGCGAGCCTGCTCCTCTTGTGGATGCTGAGGTATACTTTGATCCGTCCGTTCCTCACTATTCTCCGGTCAACCTCTCGTGGGTCCAGGCCAGAAGTGATTGGGTTCAGTCTGCACACGACATGGATGTAACCGAGCCCTGGCGAGCTTGGTGGCTGATGGACCCGGCTGTTCATCCGTACAATACGTGTTTCCGTGCTCGGACCGTGAACTTCTTGGTTTTCGCTCCGCGCGGTATAGACCCCCATGTCGTAGATGATGCTATCGAAGAAGACTTCGACCTTGCCGAAGAAGCGCCTCCAACTTTCACCCAGGGCGCCCCGCCTCGGTTGAATCGTCAAGGTATTCACATATTCGCGGGGTCTTATGTTGGTAAGCTCGACTCGGAGAACGAAAGTGCGTCTGATGACGACTCGGCGGACGATGGGTTGGGTTCTCCCAACCTCCGCGGTGCGTCCCTGAGTACGTCTCTGTTTGGCACCCCACTTCCGGGTGGGAGAGATCCGCCACACCCCACGTCAGCTGAGTCGGGTTCTGGGGCGCAGGTTTCTCTTCCATCTACCTCTGCATCAGTCTCCTTGGCAAGCTCGGCAATGATACTCCTCGCTACGGCTGCAGATATTGCATCTCCTCCACCGGTTTCTCAGGGAGCGATGTCTGTTGCGCCACAACTCTTCCAAGCATCGAGTCCGTTGAACTCCCAACAGCTGTCTCCCGTCGAGTTCACCTCCTTTGGAGTCTGGATCGCCTTCTTTTAAATTTTTCTTTCGACTGAGCGTCACTGTGGGTATCGTTCATGACTCCCTTTCGTAATTTATTCAGTATATGCAATTTCGACGCACGTTCGCCGAGTTGGTGTAACATTTGGTGCAATAACAGTTTATCCTCATCTGCAACTACCATCATTTGCAGACGATTTTCAGCTGTCGTAGATAGTCGAACAAGAGACCCCCACACGACAAATTTGACAGTAAATTCCATGTAGGCTCACCGTAACCGACCCATTCGACCTTAAACTTCCGATGGGGCCGTGACGCTCTCGTGGATAGTGGTAATGCATTGTCAATAATGGCTTCGACTTCATACTGGTTCGCACTTGCGTCGGGCTCCCAGCTATCTTCCGGTAGCAATTCCGCGTCAAAATCAAATCGCTGAGTCTCTTCAAGCTCGGTGATTAGCCAAGTATTAGGTCTCTCGTCGAGCTGCTTTCAGACGCGATACATGGACCACTGGGTAGAACCTATATCCGTTCTTGTCGGGCAACCCCAGCTCATAAGCAAGTTCTTCTACCTTCTTCTTCACCCTGAATGGTCCATGCCATCGATGTGCTAACTTCTTGTCAGGCCCGGCTTGACTCGCTCCATAAACAACCAGACTTGGTCTCCTTCTTTGAACAAAGATTCAGTGGATTCATCGCCTGGTTCTACAACTCCGGCTTCATCGTTTGCTGCGTTGGGAATGGATATTTTCTCCTTCTTGCTCAGTGTATCATTGTGTCCTCGAGCTCGCCTAGCTTTTTCTCGCACTTGGAATTCGTCTGCTAGTCGTAGGGCAACTTCCCGTTGTCTGTTCGCTTTACAGCGCCAATCCACAGCATCCGCTGAGTTATCCCTGTCCATGTTGTATTGGGCTCGTCATAGCCTTGAGTGTAGACTTGGCGTCCCAGCCATGGACTAGATAGAAAATGAGTCTCTCGCCGAGTCGAGTCTCTTGAATTGTTGATAGCGTGTACCATATTCTCGGCGATGGCTTCCCAGTCGGCCTGAAGCGGGTCTTCTACGTAGACTCGTATAGTATGAATCATTGTCTTCACTGACCTCTCTTGTTGACCGTTGGCTTGTGGTCGTAACTCAGCGTAGCCCTTGATCTCAACTTCATCATCTCGGAGAGCTTTTGAAACACTTCGCTCATGAACCTTGGATCTTAATCGTGTCGTATCAGTGACGGAGCTCCGAACCGCCTGAAGACGCATTCTTCAAACACCTTGACCACTTCGAGTGCCCCGGTGTTGTTCATAGCTTTAGCTATAACGAACCCGTGAAGTGGTCCCGGAACATCAGCAGCGCAGTATTGCCCACTGCGTTCGAGGTAGGGGAATCACGAAATCCATTGACACGACCCGGAATGGACGATCTGACACCACATTTCCCGGTGAGTAACCTCTCAACTGTGGCTTGCGCTTACTAGCACTGCAGTCCTCGCAGGCTCTAACATGTTATACCACGTCGGCAGAAACACCGACCCAGTAGTAGTCGGCCTTGACTCTGGAATAAGTTCTGACGATGCCCAATTGACCTCCTCCGATCGAAATGTGACAGTTATGTAGTAACTCGTCAATCATAATAGGACGAAATCACCGATCTCAATAAGAGGTTCGGTTCGCCTAGTCGGCGCGTCTCGTCTCGGCGGTATAACAGGCCGTCCTCACTGAGTACGAAGCCTTCTGCGACTTTGCCGGCATTCTGAGCTCAACGGTGCGTAAGGTCCTCAAATTCACTCCTCAGGTACGTCTTCAGATCGGCCCACCTGAGTTCTTCGTCTTGTACCTTCGCGATTCATCGTCTCCGCTCAGTCTGTACTAGCACTAGATCCATGTTGTTGGCATTCGGAGCTGTCCGGGTTGAGTCAATCTGCAACCCTACTTCAGCATTCGGGGTCGTACGATTGGTCCGCCGAGTCGACACCCTGTTGTCTTGTTCGAATTCATCTCCGCTGCTTTCAAGTGCGGATTCTCCAGGTTTGGTGGTATTGTTTCACGATCCTGATTTCCTTCTTTGGCCCTAGCCAAGTTTCTTAAGCTCATCCTCAAAGCGAACTCGGCGTACACGGCTACGTGTGACTACCGTGACGATCGGGGTTTCAGCTGGGTTGTCTATGGCATACAGCCCTTCGGCCACTCGGTTAATCGCTCTCAGTTCTGCTTTCCGATCCGTCCCGAGAGTTACCCGTCCGGCTTTTGTTTCGAGTGCCTCTGTAGTGAGCGAATCAGCCGATGTGTTATAGTGTCGCGCTACGTGTCGATACCGGATCGAGTTGAGTCGCTTAGTGAGATCCTTGTGTCGTGCCAACTTCACTTGCAACGTCTCTTTCTTGCATGCTATCACCCCCATGGATTGATGGATTGTAAGCCGGGAGTCACCCACGATAATTAAGTCTGTTACCCCTCGGTCAATCGCCGCCAAGACTCCATTTTTCACGTCGGTATACTCGGCGATGTTGACCGTGGTGGATGACAGGTACGCACTCGCAGCGATCTCAATGTCCCAATTCGGAAGGCGCCACGTACATCGCTCTCAGCCTGGCGATTCAAGAAGGCAAGTGACTTCATCGCCTGCTTTGCGAGATTTTGGCGGCTACCAACAACACTAGACCCGAGCTCACGATCCGAGAAGACAATCAGTCGTGCATTTAGATGACAAAGAAGCCATTGAACCACGGTCGCGCCAAGCACATCGACATCAAGTACCACCACTTCCGTGACGAAGTGAAGCTCGAGTATTGCGAGACTTCTGTGATGCTGGCGGACATTATGAAGAAGGCGCTCCCAGGACCTTGCCATATGGACCTGACGGCTACTCTCGGCATCAAGGCGTGTTCATATTGAGGGGCGTATTGAAGGCTGCGGGTTATATGTACCAGCTGTATCCATTTACCTTATGCTACAGATTATTGGAAGAGTAGGGTGATGGGACGAGTGCAGAGTGTTGGTGATGATAGTGTTAGAGTTGTTTTAAAATATAGTGGGGAAAACTAAAAAGAAAAGATAGTAGGAATTAAAAAGCGAATATGTGCTAAAACGATGGGTAAGTAATATTGTAAAATATGTATGATAGTGTATATATATGTATATATATAATCCGAGCGATAAATATCTATCGCCATTTCGCTTTTATCATAGGCGTCAAGGGTCCACTTTTCCTATCAATCGAGGGGTCCAATATACCCCAAATAAGCATTTCAACCATAGAGGCACCCAAAATAAAGCTTGATTTTGTTTATTTTGGTACACAGACACCAGTTGGCGTGATAAGGCAGCTTTCAGCCGCTCACCGTGAAGAAGCGGTATTTTAACCAATAAACTCGTCCTCTTCACCGGAGCAACGTGAGTAAATATTTTTGGTGACTCAAGCTTATGACCACGACAGAGCGAATCAGATGATCGCGGAGCGTTAGAGAAGAGGCAATTCACGGCAATTCAAGAAGTCTGCAAAATTATCAGGTACAAACCTGAACATTTGGGAGACTATGTTTGTGAAAACGGGAAATCGAACCATATGGCGGATGTGTGCTAGAGACAGGTCGTTGGAGCAAAATTTGGATTAACCCGGTACTTTGTCAGTTTTCGAGACAAGGTTAGCACTCTAGAAGACTATGTTTGCTTAAAAAGGGGAGTTGGACCATACAATAACGATGCCGACACTGGCCGACCGCAGCCGACACGGTCGTGATTGGTGAAGCATGTAGTATTTCACCCAATTACCAATTTAACTCCAACTCGAATTCAATAAGGCAGAGAAACCATGGCAGAGAAAGTCTTTGGAACGCCAGTCTTCAGTACGGAGGTCCACACAACAGAATAACGAGAAGAGAGCACAGGAGTGGCGCGCGCGTGCCTGGGGCATCCGCAGGCGGGGGTTGGCGGGGTCTCTCGCCACGAGCAGCAATCCGATAGCAGCATCGAAACACCGAGGGCCTTCTGCAAAGTACGACAACACTGATGAAGCGGATAAGGTAGGATGGCGCCGTACGTTTTGGGGTTACGGTATTGACTAACGAAATGTGGATTCTGCCAGTGATTTTGTGGGCTGAAGGAATGAGTTAGCATCAGAAGAGGGACAAAGGAAGCTTAGTGTGCTGTTTCCAGTGGAACGTTGCTGTTTTGCCCCTCGACACCTTCCTGCTGGACCATGTAAGCTTGGCGTGCTGTTAAACAGCGTGATCCTTGCTGTGTGGTGTCGTGGGTAGAAGGTGTTACGAAGGCTTGGTGGCATGGTAATATATGCAATTCATGTTGTTCTTATCAGCTCTTCTTGTCTGTGCTAAGCATCTGCATACCTGCGGAGACGGCGAAGCGGCCGACGACGTAAACGTGGAGCTTCAGCGGAAGGGCGACGGCGCTCGCGGGTGTGGCCAGCTTCGTCTTCTATGAAGGCTCGGCGAGCCTGAGCTCTGCGACGGCGGTTGAAGGCCGCGACCATTCCAGGAGGAAGGTTGTCCACAGGCTCCTCGGTTGCTTCCCAGTCTGTTACATGCACGCACCATCCATCCCTGATGTAGGAGTTGGTGATGCTGCGAAAATAGTAGTTCTTAGCTGCCAAGGTCTCGGTCGGCTCCGTCTCTTCGTTGCTACTGCTGCTATCGCCGTCCCCAAGAGCTCCACGCAGCGTCAACTTCGCATCGGCTACGCGCGGCGGTGGGATCCAGATAAGGTCGCTGTCGCTGTCACCGTAATCGCTGTCGGTGGTGTCATTATACGAAGGTGTGGGCTCTTTTTGTTCGGTCGTTGAGCTTGCGTCTAAATGCTCTTCCAAGCATGCAGTTTCAGCTCCCATCGGCGTTGCTGTCTCCTCCGCTGTGTCACTCGACTCGCGCGGTAGGCCTGGCCATGCTCCGACGTGGCAGCCTTCGATGCGGCGCCTTCCACTTTAGAGAAGGGCGGTGAACGCTTCGGACAGAAGACTAGTCAGCTCGCTGAAGTTTGATTCAGCTCGGGGAAGCTTGAGTTTCAGGAGTCGAATGGCTTCGTCCGAAAATTTTACACGAGGGTAATGTCGTTTAATAAAAACTCTGACTGTCCCTGGAAAAAGTCTACGACTAAGTGATGGCATCTTCTAGCTGCAAAATGGACAGTAAAGACACTTTAAAACCAACGATCCAGTAACTGAGTGTCCACTTTTAGCTCGATCACTTTTCCAAAAATAAGAATGAAGTCAATCGTTTTCACACATCTCAATCACATTTTTTTCAGAATCTGTATTCTATTTGCGGCTAAACAGCTTATGCGTTTCAGCTGGGGCTGGATCAATTATACCACCGATCGCAATATGAGCACGGAAAGCATTAACATGTGCATTGAACTTACCTTCACGGTAAAATTTGCGCAGTTGCTTCAGTACGCTCGAGCCATTTTTCCGCTTTGTCCCGCATTCCTCGAAAAACTTGTATAGTCCTTCTTCGGCCTCCACGCCAACACGTTAAACCAGGTCGCAGTAACGCTGGATTTTTCTAGTAAAAACGGCGATATGTGACAGCCACAAATCTAAAACTCCCCCCAAAGGCAACTTGCAGAGTTGTCACTTTTCCAAACCACCATCGGTGCCGCTGTCAAGACGAAAGGTGAACTGAGCTTCGAACGCCTGCTTCGAATCGAAGGTGAATTCGAGGGCAAACTCAACTCGAAAGGTTCCCTTGTGATTGGGACTCGTGGGGCTCTTATCGGCAACGTTGACAACATGAAGGAGGTGTATATCACAGGCGGTCGAATCGTGGGTAATGTCAATGTGGAGAAGCTCGTGCTCCGAGACAAGGCCCAAATATTCGGAAACATCACCGCCAAGTCGGTCAAGATTGAGCCAGAGTGCATTGTTGTTGGACGGATCAATGTGAACCCGCAGGCACCTGATCCGGAGAGGATCCATCGAGCACAAAGTCGTTAGGCAGGAATAGCTTCATGTAGTTTATAGTGATCTTGTGGGCTGAGTTCTTTTGACGGTCGGAGCATACATTCCACAGGCGCAGGGTCCTCGCATACCACTCAAACCAAATAGCAGAAGGGTTCTCCGGTAACGCCTTACTACCACATCCTTTTGAATTGGTGAGATCGACTTCTGATGACGACTGACCTGTTGTGGGTTCACGATCCTGCTGAGAGCGACCCGCTTGCGTTTCAAGCGCTGTGACCCTTTCGGATAGAGCTCTATTCATCGCCACCAACTCTCCAGTTATGCGGTTTTGGTGGCTTATGAGTTTGTTCTCGCTTGTCAATTTCTCGCCATCCCCACTGGATTCTTCAAGCTCTTTCCGCGACACCTTGCTTTGAAGCTCGGAGCTCCAAGCCATTACTTTCGTTTTGGTCAGCCCAAGTGTCATCAAACATTGCCGCATCCTAGCTGCGTACAGGCACATAGGATAACGCTCCAAGACCTCTGGAAAGTGCTGGATCAATGAAGCCGTAAGGACTTAAGCGACGCGGCCGTTAAGTATTTGTCGGGGTCTTGAGTGTGTACGCTGTACTAAAACAGCAGGTGGCTTCGCTCCAGCGCTCTTTGTCTGCTTGCGGAATCAAACCAAGGCAACGTCGGAACTGGAGGCTTCTTGCTTGAATCTCAACCGCTTAGAACGCGAGCTACCTTTTGATCCTCGCTAACACATACGCAAACGCCTTATTCGTTGCCGTCATATTCCACGAGCCCGATCCAAAATCCATTGAGCACTAAGAAGTGGGTCGCTGTCTGCATGCTGTGCTCCGCCGCGTCGGAACGAATGAGAAGTCAAATTTGCGGTAGGGTTTGCTTTAGCCTGGGCAGCGAAAGTAGACTTGACAACGCGGTTCACGTTCGCGTGGATCTTCATATTTTCTTCAGGTAACTCCCGCTTCTTTTGAGGGGGGTCGGTTGAGCTGTCGAGTTCACCACATACATCCGGAGCTTCAGCCAGCGGAATATCGGTAGGCGGGTTCAAGCTTTCGTCGCAGGTAGCTGCGAGAGGAGGGGGTGTCTTGCATTACCAACGCCATAGCAGTAACATGCAGTGGACACATAATGAAGCTTTCTCTGTCCGGAAAGAGTGAAATCCCCTGTTCTTTTGCTGACTTGACACACAAACACCACTCCATCAGCACTAACTGACAGATTTCCCTTAAACACGAAGCCTAGATCCGACGCACGGCCAAACGCATTCCAAATTAGCGCGAGTAGTGCTGCGTCTTGATAGCCTTTGGAACTGGCCGCATCATAGTAAACCCATCCATCAGAATTCGTAGGTCCTCCTTCGTGCAAGCCGGTGCTTTCTTGATCATCCCCCCATCAACACGCTTGGTTCAAGGGTTTGGTCCATCTTGAGTAGATTCTTCTTGATTGTAGCTCTGTGCTTCGGGTACGTGTCAAGAAGCCAGTTCTTCACATGGCGGTAGTAGCTCATGACTGAGTTCCTTGCAAGCGGTTTGCCTCCCCGGCCCACCAAAAATGCTAAGTGGACGCCGAAATGGTCCAGCAGATTTAGGAAGACGGCACCACTTGCATCCGCGACCAGAGATGCCGCAGCGAATTCAACGGAGACGCCTTCGGCCGCAATGAAGCGACTGAAGGTGTTGATTGGCGTTTGGCGAGAGCGCTGAGAGTTTAAGGGAGTGATGTTTTCCAGACTCATAATGAATTGTAGTGTTTTGTCGGCGAAAAAGCAAATACACGAATAATGTGCGCCCAACTTGTGGCTTGCATTGACTCTCAGCATACCCCCCCCCCCTTGCCTACATTATACGTCGACATGGCGTCGGCATCATTTTATCCTATCCCTAGCGTGTCTTATTGGCTGATATATTTTAAATACTGATTTCATTGGTCAAAACCCGTCGTGCCAGTCATACTGCTAATACTTTAATCAAGCTAAAAACTGTGTCGGCACGGTGATAATATATTATAGGTTGTTGCAACAAAGTCCTGTTTAGCCCGGTACGTTTTCAGTTTTACAAGATACAAGGTTGTAGAAAAAAAGGAGACAAATAAATGTAAATATTAGATTGATAACTAAATAAATTTATTAAAGTGGGTTATGGCATAGTTGCTTGATTTGTTAAAGTAATAAAGAAATTTAAACATATAGTCATATAGTAGTCAAAGTGTCGTGTGGAAGAAAAAAAGTCAGTGCTCATTAATATAATGAGAACAAAAAAGATAAAAGAAAAAGAAAGAAAAAATTGGAAAATGAAAAAGATCTGAAAATGTTTTGTTTTATATAAAAATTAAAGCTAAGAATAGCTAGTTTCAATTGGTTTAATTAAAAAAAAGGCAAACAAAATGGTAAAATTAAATGAAATGCTAAGATTTAAAATAATAAATTGGAGGAAGTGTTAATTGAAAATAAATTTAATATTGTTGATTTAATAAGATGAGTAAAATTTAAAAAAATCTGTTGAAAGTATCATTGATAGAGGGAAAAAAAGTGAGTGAGTGTTAAAAAGATGGTAAGCTGGATTGGTAATACGTTAAAAATGAAGGTGATATAGTTAATAAAAAAAAGAAAAAAAGAATTATTAGTAAGATTAAAACTGAATATATATTAAAAAGTAAACTGGTGTGTGATAGTGACAACCTATTAAGCTAAGAAGAGACGGTTTGAGAAGTGTTTTGAGGGGGAAAATATGGATAGGGTATATGTTTTAAAATATGTGTTTACCGTTAGGTAAATATGTATGATGAGTAATAAATACGAGACATGATCAATAAAATCGTGCTGTGTTTAGATTAAGGAAAATAAGGTAATTGAAAACTTAAATTTTAAGACAATAAATTGTTTTGTACAAGTAAAGATAAAAAAGGTTTTTTATTTTTGACATTAAAGAATAAAGTATTATAATGAAATCATTTAAAATACAGAATTGAAAATTTAAATATAACGTTTAAGATATAATGTATAGTAAGGATTGTAATATAAAACTAGAAAAAATTAGGCCGTGTTTGTTGGGCAGATAATACATATTATCAGCTAGATAATATGCGTTTTCTCAGATTAGCTTGAAGGGTAATCCGAAGAATTCAAAATGAGATTATGTGGTGAAGGATCACCATTCGGCAAAGCGCATTCGAGGGAGAAGATCACAAAGACGTAAGGCTCGATGAAGTTTACTTGGGATCTCGACATGGAGAAACAGCTCCTCGTGTTAGTGCTGACGGCAAGAGCGGGTTCCGGGAAGAGTCTAAAGAAAAGCCATGGCACAACAGCGATGAAGCTATGACAGCTCGATGCAAGGCTAGTATATCTTTTCATTGTTTTTTTGCCGATTGTTCTAGCTCTCTCATCAAGTAGGAAAGTGCCAGTCAAAGTACCAGCGTCTGATGGCTCAGTGCAAGACATGCCGCTTAATCAGTAATCTCAGTGCGGCTGGTGTTGACTCAAAGTTGCACAGGGTGCTGCTTGAGGACAGTGTCTGGAGCGGCCTGATCGCCAAGGCGGACGCAAATACGGGGATGATTCAGTTTGAAGAGTTCATTGTAAATTTTGACGACGCTTGTGACTTGGCCCCCACTTCAGAAGGTGATATCGTACACCTCGATAAGGTGTAAGAACTTGTGTCGTAAGCGCATATCCTGCATCTGAAAAAATATAGTAATATGTCAGAATCTTTGTCAGAAATCCACTAAACGAAAGCACCGAATAATAGTGCGAGCTGCCTTCCATGCCAGCATTAACAAATGCAACTCGCAAGTTCCAGCCACTGGCAATCAAAACATTCGTCGTAGTTACTCCTTTACGAGATCAAAATCGGTCAGCACCTTCTTCTGCGACACCGACTAAAAAATGCACTCCATCAATTGCACACAGAGCTTGGTTGAAGTGTGGAAAGCGTAGTGCGAATTCCGGACACACGTCAGACGGCATACAAATGAGATTCGCAGTGCACTAATGATGGCTTGCATACCGAGAAGACGGTATTTGTAGCACGTTGAATATGCAATCTTGAAGGTTTTTCTTGGACTCTAGCTGATGATCTTGTTGCCATCCAGTCCAGGGTTACACATAGTAGCTCGCGCTGACTACGTACTGTTTCGGTGATGTACGGGGCACGTACGTGAAACAGGGATTCGAGTTCGGGGTGATTGATTCTATAGGCACCGCGGAACACTTTCGGGTGTATATTGCAGTAGTTCTGGTTGAAGGGACGCTCAGCCTCTGCTGGCGTAGATGAAAGACGCGGGATGCGAGCACACGGGCGGTGACCGCTGCTGCCTTGTAGATCTTCACGTAGCTTGATGAGCATGACGTAAAGCATGTGCAAGTTCGCCATTGCGTCGACTTCATCGTCGCTCTGTCGGTCATCATGCCGAAAGCGACCCTTCGTTTGGATTCTAATATATTTTGCTGAGTATCAAACACACGTAAACTGAACTGATACTATCGTAAAACCATACTAGCCGCTTAGTATGCATTCTATGATAATCGGCGAACACGGTCTTAACAATCGTCTTACCCGTAGGACGATTTGAGAGCTAAGGAACCTTAGTTTGCCTGTCAAAAATCAAGGTGTATTAGAGTCATACCAACACCTATGGAAAAAGGAGGTGGTATCGAATCGGAAATTGTGCCGGAAGTATACACTCTTTTGGGTTGTCACAGCGCTATACACGTGTCAATTTGTAAGTGAAATTCATGCATACACTATGGCAAAGCGAAATGCACTTCAATTTTGACAGTAAAGCATAAACCATTATTGCCGTCAAATCGCCTAAGGAGAAAATGTATCTGATTGACTCTTTTGTGCAGCTAAACCTAGTTAAATTCAGAATGTGTACCTTTCAGCCTATATACCGAAAGGCCTGGATAACTCTTCGACTGATGTACTGAGAGTTTGTTAACTCTCCTGGTACTCGCACCCATGTGTGTTCCACACCAGGTAACCCCATTTTGAAAATATGTTTTAAAGCAATGAAATCATTGCATG